ATTTGGAAAACTCAACAGTGGCCACAGGATTGGAAAAGGTCAGTTTTCATTCCAATCCCAAAGAAGGGCAATGCCAAAGAATGTTCAAACTACCACACCATTGCACTCATTTCACATGCTAGCAAAGTGATGCTCAAAATCCTACAAGCTAGGCTCCAGCAGTATGTGGACCGAGAACTACCAGAAGTACAGGCAGGATTTCAAAGGGGCAGAGGAACTAGAGATCAAAGTTCTTAAAGAGATGGGAGTACCAGACCATCTTATTTGTCTCTTGAGAAACCTGTATGCGAGTCAAGAAGCAACAGTGAGAACTGGGCACGGAACCACTGATTGGTTTAAAATTAAGAAAGGAGTTCGGCAAGGCTGTGTACTGTCGCCCTGCCTATTTAACTTATATGCAGAGCACATCATGAGAAAGGCAGGGCTAGATGAATCACAAGTTGGAATTAAGATTGCCAGGAGAAATATCAACCACCTCAGACATGCAGATGCAGTGCTTTTTTTGTCATAGAACGCACTGGAACGGAGTTCTGGCACCTTTTTTTGACAGATTTTCCAAGTTTTAAAAATAAGTTTAAGAAATGTTTGGTCCATGTGGATTTGAATTGCCCTGTCAAGTGTAGCAGGTCAGCGGCAAAATCAATAAAACGGTGCGTGCAGGCTGCTTGTGCGTCGAATCTGATGCATGTGTACTTCGTCCGCACTGGTTGTGATGGCGCTGCTCGGCTTGTGATTGGCGTGTGGTCACACGCTGAGTGCTTACTGCAGGCTGTGACTGTTATGTTTCGTTACACAACTGACGTGTGTGGGTGTGTGTACAGTGATTGACTATGTGGGAAAGGTAAATAATTTCATGAGTTCCGGCACCCTTTTTCTTACAAAAAAAGCACTGTGCAAATGATACCACTCTAATGGCAGAAAGTGAAGAGGAACTAAAGAGCCTCTTGATACGGGTGAAAGAGGAGAGCGCAAAAGTTGGCTTGAAACTCAATATCAAGAAAACTAAGATCATGGCATCTGGTCCTATCACTTCCTGGCAAATAGATGGGGAAGAAATAGAGGTAGTGACAGATTTTATTTTCCTGGGCTCCAAGATCACTGCAGACGGGGACTGCAGCCAAGAAATTAAAAGATGCTTGCTGCTTGGGAGGAAAGCTATGGCAAACCTAGAAAGCATACTAAAAGCAGAGACATCAGTGTATAGTCAAGGCTATGGTTTTCCCAGTTGCAATGTATGGCTGTGAAAGCTGGACTATAAGGAAGGCTGCGCGCCAAAGAATTGAGGCCTTTGAATTGTGGTGCTGGAGGAGACTCCTGCGAGTCCCTAGGACTGCAAGGCGATCAAACCAGTCAGTCTTAGAGGAGATCAACCCTGACTGCTCTTTAGAAGGCCAGATAGTGAAGATGAAACTCAAATACTTTGGCCACCTAATGAGAGGAAGGACTCCCTGGAGAAGAGTCTAATGCTGGGAACAATTGAGGGCAAAAGAAGGAGGGGACAGAAGGGAATGAGGTGGCTGGATGGAGTCACTGAGGCAGTCGGTGTGAGCTTAGGTGGATTCCAGGGGATGGTAGAGGACAAGAAGGCCTGGAGGAATGTTGTCCATGAGGTCGCGATGGGTTGGACGCGAGTTTACAACTAACAACAACACTATGTGACTGGATGCTGTGCCATGTCAGTGGGGCCAAAGCAAACTAAAGCGTTTGCATCACAGCTCGTAATAGGAAGGCGTGTCTGCTGCGGCCCAGCGTGGGGTGGCTTTTTTAACCCCCATGTGGCACTGTGAATTGTCCTCTGTGGAAACCGCTAGATCCTTTTCAGATGTCCTGCTGCCAGGGCAAGTGTCTTGCCTGCATTTTTGTCCTACCAAAATGAAGAATGATGTATGCACTTATCTCAGCTGAGTTTTATTTCGTTAGCTTAGGCCCAGTTCTCCAGCTATGCCAAATCAACCTGAATGTCTGTCTTCAGAATATCCTCCCAGTTTGGGATCCTCAGCAAATCTGATGAGAATCCCCTCTACTCCTTCATCAAAATTATTTAAAGAAGTATTGAATGACTCCTGGCTGTAGACAGAGCTTCCAGACTGACATGGAGCCAGCAGGTGCCCCTCTTTAAATGCGTCTCATCAACAGCTACCAATCCACTTAACTGCGACATCATCTAGTCCTCGTTTAACCAATCTGTCAGAAAGGAGATCATTAGCGAGCTTGTTGAAAGGCTTGGTGAAATCAAAATACACTATGTCTACAGCATCCCTCTTTTCAACAAAGCTAATAAATAATATTTCTACCACGTGAACAAACGAATGAATAAACAAACAATACCAAACAAAAAAGAGATGTGGTTAGTTTCACACGACCCGTTCTCCAGATACTCCGGCTATCTGCATGCCCATCCATCCATCCATCCAGCCATCCAATTACAGCATTCTTTTCTAATGCACACAGGCTGACCGATTGATCACGCGTCTAGAACTCCGCCAGCTCCCCGCATCCAGCCGAGGGGCCTGGCTCGGGCTGGTGCAGCCCACGGCTCCTTGAACAAGCAACCCAGTGCCTCTCTGTGCGCCTGGACGGTGAGGGGAATCCTGGCTGGGGCGCCTTGGCAATGGCCCTACCTGCACGGAGGTGCAAGTGGGGCTCGCACTCGTGTCCAGGACAGAGTTGGTGTCATTGAAGTCATAGGGCAGAGGAGGACTCTTCTCCGTCTTAGGAGGCGCAGTGATGGGCGGCAAAGCGGGTGGCCTGGGGGAGAAATTGATGTCTGTGCCGTTGCCAAAGGCCTGAATAGCATTTCCTGGTCACAGGGAGGGAGGAGAGAGACAAGGCAGAGTTACTAAGCAAACAAGAATGAGAGACCAGCCCATGAGGTCGCTGCCATCCCCACGGTTGGTTCCACCACCGGCTGCTCCAGAGCAGGGCCCTGGCAGATCCCACCGCTCTTCCTGGCCACGCACCCCAACCGGGAAGCCAAGGGAGTCTCGGTGGAGGCCCCTGCCGGCTTCGGCTGGTGCAGTCATGCTGCATAGCACTGGGACGAGCAGGTCACGAAGCTCTCGGGTTTGGGGATTGCAGCACTGATTCAGACACTGGCTTTTCCTTGTCCTTGTGCAACTCAGCAATCGCTGCCTGCCTGCCATCCGTCCATCGTATAGGATGCTAATAGGTACCCTGTGAGTTGTAATGATACTAACAATAGCAGTAACGTTAGCAACAACTGCTAGTGTTTTTATTGTTGGACAGGAGGAACTGCAGTGCAGCCGTGCGCGGCTCAGGCGGTCCCTCCCCGCCCCGCCCCAGACCCTCAGAAGCCCCTCTACATGCCTGCCTGCAGCTGCAGTGGGGTGGATTAGCAATCACATATGCAAATGCGCAACCTCATTCTGTCTTGCACTTCCTTGCAGACAGGCTGGCTTTTGCGCACTCGCTCTCTCTCCCTCTCTGCCTCCCCCCCCCCCCCCCCCCCGGTCTAAGGAAGTGAGCATGGGTTGGGCCTTGCGCCTGCTTTGGAGCCACGCAGCACGGGGTGCCCTGGGATCGTGTGGCGCCTTACGGAGACACGGGTTTTCCGTGAAGCCCCTCAGGAACTTCGCACACTCCTCCTCCATGTTGCCGCTCCCTCGGCAGGAGCACGACGGAGACACGGTAAGGCTGCTGGCACTCGAGTCCACGTAGTTGGGCATCACGTCGAACCCTGGCCAGGAGGGACAGCAGAGCTGGGCGTGGGCGGCACATGGGGGGCTGCAGCCCTGCCTGCTACCCTCCTCCCACGTCTGGATGGGCCACCCTGCAGGAGTGTGGCAGTGCCCCGGTTGCCCCAGCAGGCCAGGGGGGCCTCCAAGAGGCCCCCTCCTCCCGAGAACCCTTCCAGTGACTCGGGGGCTTCCTCGGCTCATGCTGCAGCCGGCAATGGCACATCCACCTGGGAAGGGCGGCCCCATGCCCGGGCAACCAGACCCCTTCCCTGCTTTGGGGAGGCTGCCGCTGCTCCAGTCCGCTTGGGGTTCCTGCACAGGGCAGGCCTGCCCCAAGCCCTGGGCCCCTCCTCCAAGACTTGCCCCGGCGCAGCACCGCCCCCTGCGGGAGACCAGTCCTGCCCTGCGTGGAGGGGCCCGCACAACCCGCACTCACCGATCAGGCCTGCGTAGGAGCCCAGGCACGCCTGGTAATTATCCCTGGGGCAGCCTGTTGGGGACCGGAAGGAGGGCTGGCAGTTCGTGTGGAAATCCGCCAGTCTGGACCTGGTTGCAGGAGAGAACAAAGAGAGCGGAAGTTGAGAGGGAGAGGGAGAAAATGTCCAGAGACGGAGAGACAGGAAGGACTGTTCTGGAGAGCTGCATGGCACCACCAGTGCCCAAGGGAGGGCACCCACAGAGTCCAGTTGCTGGGGAACATGGGGGTCCTGCTTGTGACCTTCCCAGAGACACAAGGTTGGCCCCGCGCCCCCTCCTCCAGCTTCAGTTCCCCACCACAACCGGAAGGTGGGTGTGGGACGCAAGCCGCCATCAGGCTCCCTGAGTCAATTCCGCCCATGCCAGGGAAAGCGTCTGCGTGTTGCAGAGGCGACGCTTCAGAGATCGTGACGTGGAGGGGGATGGAAGGATGCAAATCGCGGCAATGCATGTAAATGTATGCACAACTACATCTCTCTCTTGCCCCTTTCCAGCGCTGCACGACGTTCTTGGTGATGCACATGCGGCCACTCCAAAGCTGATCACCAGCACCGGGGAAGCCAACTTGTAGTCCCCGCGTCCCCAGGCGGACGATGAACCTGCAGCTTGGAGCTCCGCAGCACGGGAGGCAGTTCTCCAGTGCACGGGCAGCCCGAGAGGTGGAGCAGCTGCTGCAGGAGAGCACAAGCTCACGGTGGCTCCACTGCGAGGCCTCGGAACCCCCCAAGGTTTCGTTCTTTATGGCTCCGATTTACTTCTCTCCAGGCCTCCTGCCCTGGTGAGAGATTCTGTTTAGTAAGCAAACAGCAAACGGTGTATCAGAGATGGGGGTTCCTCCTGTGTCCATGGGGCACTGATATTCTACACCTCAACCAGAAAATCTCTGCGTTTGGCGCATGTCCCAACATGTTTCCGGCATGAGGAGTGCAGGTGGCTGGATGGAGGTGAGAGCCTCTCTGCCCAGAGAGACGGGAGGGCTGCCCCACATCTCCGAGGAATTCAGTGGACTCCCCACACCTAGAAAGATGAGAACTCATTACAAAACCAGTGTGGGCGAGAAGGGCTGCATGATTCTGGGCAGGAAGGCAGCAACTTGCAAGACTCAGTAAAGCACGCATGATTCCTGGACTGGTATGAAAGTGAGGAGAGGAGCCCTGAATGTGGACTGGGTTGGAGGCATCCCTCTAGTGGCATTTTCCATGCAACCCCCTCGTTCAACTGGTTGGTAAGCCAGTTTTCCACTCGTGGAAAGAGAAACCCCCACCTTTGCACATCAGAACCAAAGAGGCAGAACTAAGCTGTGCTTGGCAATTCAAACTTCAGAGACTGCTTTTATCCAGGCCAGAAACTGCCCACAAATGTGCATTTCTGAGTATAGACAAGTCCTTATTTATCTGAAAAGAGGTCTATCTCCGAGGCCTTTCATATGTTATTTTGCTCCCTTATTAATTAAATGCCACTGTTCTGCAGCCAGAGATCAATTATCCAATGCTGGTTGCCTAAAGCCATCAGAACAGACCAAAAAGAAAGAGTGGAAATTGTGTTGTGTTTTGAGAAAATGGGCATGAGCTGCTTCCAAGTATTTCTGATCAAATTAAATGGAGGAACAAACTTGGCTGTGATTGCAGGAGTCGAAGGCTGCCCCTCGTCAGCGCTGAGCTTCACCCTGTTGCTCAAATTAATGTAAGAAGAGAACAGTTCTGGCTGTTATATTTGCAATTCCTTTCCTAAGGATACCTAACAGGGGATGTGCCCATTTCACAGAAGTCGGGCCAATATTCCAATGTCCAGAACAGCCATGGGCAAGATAAACATGTGCTGTGAACAACATAGGCCACCAGGCAGGAAGAGCTGCGAATGTAGATCCTTACAGACTGGAGAGCTGGAAGGGCACCAAGCCGCATGATCTGTGGTTATTGTTGTTTTACTTTGCAGCTTCCACATTTAAAGCAGGCCACAATTTATTCTGTTTTAAGGCAGGGAGATTTATGCAACTATGGCCACCGCTGGCATGAAAGCTGGCCATGATTTGCTACAGAACTTATGCAAACTGCATCTGCATTTTGTACAAATTCCTCTGCCTTTAAGAAATGCACAAGCCGAGGCTGCCTCAAAAGCCAGAGACAGCATGACTCGCGTCAGAGTGAATTAGTGCCAGCGCTGGGGTGGCAGGCCAGAATCCGCGTGGGGGCGGGGAGCTGAGATTTTAACTCCTCACGCAGATCCCTCGCACCCTCCAAGTATTCAGAAATAGGTCTTCATACTGAGGAATTCTAGGAATTCAGCAACGGCTAGGATTTGGAGCGTGCCGTTTCATCACCCGAATTGGCAAAGTAGTGGTGGAGTAGAACTCACAGTGGAATTCAAAGTGCTAACATAATAAGACGCTCTTGAGGAAGCAAGCCCGATATCAAGCCCCCGGAAGGCGCCCCTGCAGGGCCTGGGCCCAGCCTGGCACAGAGATCCAGGAGCTGAGAACGGAGGTGTCTTTTCCTGGGAGGGGGGCTCTTGGAGGAGGGGTGAGGGGCACATCCCTTGGTGCACCAGGTGTCCTGGGCCAAGAGCCCCAGGAGGGTCCAGCCCTCTCAAAGCAGGCCAGTGCCTGGCATGAGGCAGCTCCCCTCCAGCGGGTAACCTCGCCAGCGCCAGGGGCTGGCAGGCAGATGGGGGCTGCTGAGACAAGATGGGATGCATCCAAGGGAATGGACAGAGGAATCGGGTGACGCCACAGAACTGAACGCACTGGCAGTGGAGGGTCCTGAAGGCTGGCAAGGGCAGGGGCACCCCGGACGACACAAGTGCCTGCCAGCTGAGACAGATTTGTGCAGAAGGGGAAAGCCCTGCCAACCGCACCAAGGGCCGCCTTGAGCCCGCCTGCCCCAGGAGGTCCCTCCTTCCTGCCCCATGGAGTGGCCATGGTCTGCAAGCAGCCAGCCCCCGAGTGGCCCGCTCTTGTCCCCACGGGGGACTTGCTCCGTGGCGCTGTGGAGTATGCATGGCCCCTTCTGCAGGAAGGGTGCTAAGTACAGAAAGCTGTTTTCCTCCCGCTTCTCCTGGTGCAGCACCCTCTCCTGCTGGTGAAGCCGAGTGGAAAACAATCGATTCTCTTGCTTCGTTACCTGCCCAAGCAGGCACCACGTGGAGTGAGCGAGCTTTCCAGGGGATGAGTTTCAGCTTCGGCAAGCCAGGGGAGCATCTGCGTCTGGCAGGTTTAGCGTCAGAGACCCGCAACGGCATCGCTCCAGAAACAGGAGCATCCCAGAGCGCCTGGGCTGGGAGGGTTCTTTGCTCTGTGCCTGCTCTCTGGGATGAGTGGCGGTGGGGCGTCTCCTTCCTGGGCACACGCACAGTGCCCTCAGGTCCCCTCGCAGCCACCTTTTCTCAAGGCTGAACAGTCCCAGCCCTCTCTTCTTCCTGTCACAAGGCTTCCTCTCCAGGCCCTGCCTCTCCTTCAATGCCCTCTGGAGCATCAGCATCCTTTAAACTTGGTGTCGGGAGGGCAAGAAATGGGGAGCTGTATGGATGGCCGGCTGCACCCTCGCAGCATGGACGAGCCAAGGGAGGTGGTCTCTTGGGCCACTCCCTCAGGGGGACGGGAGAAGCTCCTTCTTGTTGAACCCCCCAACCCTTCCCCTTCTAGGAGGGGTAAGTACAAGAGAAGTGGCCCCAAGGGATACAACAGACTTATGGAGAGAGCCGAGAGGGATGCAAGCCGCCTCTTACTCCGTCTCCGATGATGTTCTAGGGTGGGGTTCCTTAAAACAAAAGACCGCCTTCTACTCACTCCGTCACTGCACTAGGCTTTAGGATGCGAAGTGCTTGCTGTGTCTGGGGACAGAATGAGCTGGGGGGCTCGGGCCACTCTTTGAGGGGAAGGGGGTGCCACAGCAGAGGGCGCAACGTGGGGGGAAGATGAGCCGGGCATTTATGTGGGATCTCCACTCCTCGCCAGCCCTCCTGCTCGCCCTGGCCATGCCCAAACAAGACCAGAGCAGACGGCAGCAGGGACCGTGAACTTGAAATCCCAAACATCAGAGCGATCCTGGAAAAGTCTGCCAGCGGAAGCATGGTGCCAAAACGCAACTTCACTCGCGTTCCTGTGGAATTTAAAATCCACATGAGGAATGGGTCTGCATTATGCAGCTTAATTGACCGCGGGCTAGAAGAACTGTGGACTGAGACCAGAGACATTGCTAGGGAAGAATGCCAAGAGACAATTCCTGTAGCAAGATGAAAGAAAATGGATGACAGAAGAAATGCTCACAATTGCCAGGGAGAGCAGCAAAAGCAAGCAGGGCAGAAACCAGGTCAGGATCCTGCATGTGGCTTTCAGTGACCCTCACACAGGGACAGAAGGAACTGTGCTGTGTGGATTGCAAGAAGCGATGGCCGGTCCGGAAAGAAATGGGGGTGCCTCAGCACTGCATCCCCAACAAGGAACTACTCTGAGGACAGGAGGCAGAGAAAGGGCTGGAGGATCAGGGGAAGCAGGAATGAAAATGACTGGAAGATACATCAGTTTAAGATATGCAAATAAACCCCTATTGGTGGCAGAAAGCAGCAATGAACCGAAGCAGCTTCTAATAAAAGTTAAAGAAGTGTAAAAGCAAGACTGCAGCTGAAGATTAAGAAACAACACTCATGATTACAAAAGAATTACAGAACTTTACTGTCAACAGTGAAGAAACTGAAATTGTGAAAGAATTTGCATACCTTGGCTCTGACATCAATTCAAAGAGAGAGCACAACCCAAGGGAGAGTCAAAGGCCAAAGATCAAAAGGAAGACTGAATAAAAGATGGATTGACTCATCCTCCATGTGCAGGTCTCAAGCTGAAACAAACTGAGCACCCACTTCAGGCTAGGCTGAATAAACGCCAAGGGCCATGAGACATAGCAGAGGTGTTTTGACCACAGGCAGGTGGGCTGAATTATGAATCCTTATTTATTAGTTTAAAGCCATCACCAACTAAAGGTTTCATGGAACCAATGAACGAATCCATGTTCCAGATGGAATGTGGAAGCTTCTGGGCTCAGTGCAGCCCAGAACATTCACTGTATGTGACCTCT